CCGGTCTTGCTGGGCGGACGGCCAGGCCCTGGACACCGACTCCCATCATCCCCAGCCCGCGCCTTCCCCACTCACCGACGGCCGCCGCGCGGCAACCAAGATGGCGCCCCTCCCGGCTTCCTCAGCGCGAAGGGCGCACGCGCAACGCAGAGGGGCGGGAAAGGCGTGCGCGAAGAGGGAGGGCCGCCCCTCTTTTTCTATTGGCCGAAGCTGAGGAGGGGGCGGGGCTCGGGTTCCCAGACCGCGTCCGTCACGTGGCTTCAGAAGACGCGCTTAGGGAGACGAAGGTTCCTCCTTAACCAGGAAACGTGGCTTAGCGCGACTCAAGATCAGCCTCCCTCAAAGTTTTTCTGTAAACTGCTTGGTGGTTCTTCTAGCGCGGTGCTGCCTTTCACCAATATTTTTATTTTTATTTTTGTAGTCTAAAGGCTGTTGCAGTTGTATTTCCTACAAGCATAAAAGGGCGGAGAGGCCCTTTGCTGTCCCAGGATGCCAGCAAACTGCGAAGAAGCAGCGGACGTTTGCATCGGTGGAAGGACTCGGAAAGCAGAGCAACTGTGATCTAGAACGTTAGGGCATTTTGCGATGGGGAAAATAAAGGCTTCAGTGGGGGAAATGTCTGGTTTTTTTTTTAATGTTAGGTGCAGCTGTCAGTACTAGATGTGGAACTTTAGCGCTCATATTGCTTCCTCCTTTGAATGCAATTCATAATATCGTTATAAAGGAAACTCTGTAGTTGTGTTTGGAAGCTCTGGAGATTATTTTTTTTTTAACATCCTCAGCTAAATTTCCGAGTTAATGGGGTTTTCTCTAGGAAGAGTGTTTTAAGATTTCAGCCTAACAATATTTACTCAGAAAGAAGGTCTCTGGAGTGGGATGGGGGCTGGTCTCTTGTTTAGACCAGGGCTTCTCAACCTCAGCAACTTTAAGTTATGGGGGCTTCTGGGAGCTGAAGTCCACACAACTTAAAGTTGCTGAGATTGAGGAGCCCTGGTCTAGAAGATTTTCATCTGAGTTTGTCACCTGTGACAATCGTCCACAACGACCCTGAGCTGGCTGTAGATAGCAAGTTACCTGAGTCTTGATTACATGCCTAACTGTAATCTGGTTTAGGTAGGGCTACCCTTGAAAAGCATCTGGAAATTGCAACTGGGGCAAACGGTGATAGCCAGGCCGCTGACCAGGAACCATGTAAGATGCTGGTCCTGCCCTTTTAAAGCTCTAGATCGGTGTTTTTCAACCTGGCTGGGGAATTATGGGAGTTGAAGTCCACACAGCTTAAAGTTGCCAAGGTTGAGGAGCACTGCCCTAGGTGGCTTAGGCTCCTCACCACTTGAGTGTAAGTGCCTCTGTGGCTGTGAAGCTGCCTGGTTACTTAGATCTGCGGTGAGGTGTCTCACTACTCACCTAGTGTGTGGGGCAGGGCCTTCCCTTTTGGAGCCCCAGGCCGGGTAATGCACTTCCCAGGGTGGTCCTTTGGCTCCAGTTCCCCCACCTTTTAGGAAAATGGTGAAATCGCATTCCTTTCACCAAGCTGTTAATAGAATTAATTTTGATTTTAATGAAATTGATTTACATTTTGTCTTGAATTTAATCGAATGACATTTCTTACGGCTTATAATTCCTATTTTAATGGCTGCAAGCTGCCTGTCATATTTTGGACCCAGTATGAGAAGACCCAGCTCCCCTGAGAAGTCTAAAATGCTGGGAAAGGTGGGAGGAAAGAGACCAGCCGCAAGACGGGTGGGCTCATTTGCAGAGGCGATGGGGGCACCGTTGGGAGACTTGAAAGGACAGGTGGTGGATAGATCGTCATGGAGAAAATCAACGTGGTCTCTAAGAGTTGACGCCAACTTGGTGGTGCATAATTACTCAAAGCTGCCTTGAGTGTTATATAAACAAAAAGGTGGATATGAATTTAGCCATGATGAAATACTTACATGGCTTTAAAAGGGGATTCATGGAGGACACAGCTAGTTAAAATTGTGATTCCTATGGCCACATGGTTGCAGGCAGCTGACCTGAGGGCCTCTGGGCTTGAAGACTCCCCTCTACCTCCAGCCTGCCCCCCACTGCAGGGAAAGGGAAGCAGGAGAGAGGTAAATATCTGTTCCTCCTGCTGCTGAGTCCTCCAGAGGCACCTGACTGGACAGTGTGAGAAATGCAATGTCGGATGAGATGAGACTCACCCAGCAGGCCATGCTTATGTTCTGAGGTTCTGTTCTTCGAGGGTTGGCTATGGTGATATTTCTAAGACAAGCACATTCTAAGAACGTGCATAAGGTCACACACAGGAAATACAGAGACATCTCTCACAGAAACATCTCATGTTACCACAGAACAAGGCAGGCCCATCAGAGCACATGTAGACCTGTGCGTGGAGCATCATGAATCCTAGCAAGTGGGTGATGGCATTCCCTACGTGCAACTACAGAAGGCCCACTGGCGATTCCCGTGAAGAGGCTGGTGAGACCCAAGGGTTCTTTCTGAGATGGGATTGGCACAGAGCTGCATGGAGACCTTTATGATGCGCTCAGAACTCATCAGACCAAGACCCTGTTCATATTTAAAACCAGCACAGGGCCTTAGCTGTCTGGATTTTCTTACAAATATGGAATGGACAACTTCATATGGCAGCTGCTTTGCTCTTCAGAAATGTCTTCTGCTTCTCTGCAAAAACGCCCCCTTGTTCTTAGTTTTCTTTATCATCTGGAAAATTTTGAAAAGTTTCACGGTATGGCATACGGCTTTTGAGTGGCTCCGAAGAAGCCACAAACGTGGGTTAGTCTTCCAGGAATGTTTAACTAAATGTTCCTCCATCACAGAATGGGTAAGTTTCACAGAGACTTTTCCCAAAGGGAAGAAAGTGTGACTTTCAGTAAGAAGATGAATTCAAGAGCTGAGTCTAGTTGCCTCTGCTGAAGAAACTTTGTGTGTGTGTGTGTATGTACATGTGTGTCTGTCTGTCTGTCTGTCTATATAAATCACCAATCTATGTGAGGGATTTTAAAAAATCTTCATTGCCAGGCTGGTGACATTCAATGGAAAATAACTATTCCTTAATTATTTCGCAAATGGGGCAGTGTTCATAGCACCGTTAATGCAGCCAGGCATCTTGAGTGGGAAAAAGGTCGGTCTGCCTACCTCCTGCCCACTTCCTGGATGAGACAGCCAACACTGGACAATTAGGAGAAAAATCACATTTTGCATTCTGCTTCTGCGATTTAAAAGGGAGAATTTTACAGCGAAGAGAAGAACTAGGAAATTGACAGTGGAACTGCCAATTCGGTGCCTCTGAACTTTTCTCTGGGGACAGTCAGAAAGTTAATTGCTGTAAACCTTCAAAAGGTGTTGAACTGCATCCTCAGGAATAGCTCTTTGTGGGCTGTCTCACAGGCTGGGACATGGCTCTGGAAGGCAGAAGCTTTAGGACTTGGATCCAGGCATGCCAAGATGAAAGAATTCTTAACCTACAACTCTGGCAGGAAGGTCTTAGAAAATTATTGTGAAGTTTGGAGGTAGAATTGTTCATGACTGGCATAGGGGGCCATATACATCTAATAAAATAAATAAATAAAAATAAAAGAGACTATTGACACAACACACAATCTGATCACATAAAGATTGAATAGCTGTACTATTTTCACATATGGCGTGAAACTTGGTAAATCTTCTTTGTGGAATAGGAGATTGTATGAGCCAGACTCATTTGTCGTTCAGTGCATTGCACGAAGCCAGGCAATGGGTTAATCAGGAACCTGGTTAAGTTCCTGCAGAATGAACCCCACTACAGAGGCCTCTGGCATATATACCGCTGCTGTGAGGGACGAGTCACAGGGGCACCAAATCGCCATTATTTCTTGCACAACAGACACTCCTTCTTTTTTTCCTTCTCTTCGCAGGTTCATCAGAGAAATGGGACCAGCCTGCAGAAGACTAAAAGCCTCAGAAAAGGTTACAAGTCTTTCCAACCATTTAAGCCACCGATTTGTTGCAGTAGTTTATATTTTTACTTTTCTATAAAAACTGTGCCCAAGGCAGCTCACCTTGTAATAATCAAGGTGTGTATGTGTGTGTGCACGCCTGTGTGTGTGTATGTGTGTGTATGTATGTGTGTGTGTGTGTGTGTGTATATATATATATATATATATATATATATACACACACACACACA